CCTTCGTCTTCCTCAGAGGCCGAGAGACCACCGTTATATGTGGTATTCCTCACCGGAAGTGATGGTCGTGCCAGAAGTGATGGTCGTGCCTTCCGGCAAGACCATCACTTTCGGTGCGGAATGTCATACATAACTGTGACTCTCGGCCTCTAAGGACGACGAAGTCGTCGGAACGTAAGGCCGTGATTGGATGAATAAACACCATTTAAAAACCTGCTTGGTTCAGAACACTTGAAGACTATATGCGATGCCCAGGTTTAAAGGAAGCGAAACATGGAAACTACTGATATAGGTCTCACGTAGAAAGGCCACTTGACTAAACGCGCTTCCCTTGTAAGTTATGATTTGCCTTCTGAAAAAAAAACTTTTTATCATGTTATTACGAAACTTTTCAGATTCAAGCAAGGAACACTACCAATCAAACATATTACCAAGATACAGCAAATCAACACCATACCTTTATGAGGAGCAGCTTCCTTTACCGGTATATGGAATAGCTCATGGTTACCCCTACCGTAAAAAAGAGAAGGATAATACGGATGACTATCCAATAGAAAGTACCCAGAGTTCACGGCAGGATGACGGTGAACATACGTTCCATGAAGAGCTCCAAAAGGATACGCCGGAGTACTCAGATAATGACAAACAGTACGACGAGGAGTATGAGGCAGACAAGGGAAAATCAGCGAGCAAGGAACCCGAAGAGGAGGAACAAGAGGATGGTGAAGATGATAACGCGCAAGAACAGGGACAAGATGAGTCGCAGGAGGAGGAACCTGATGAAGAGGATGCAGAAGAAGAACCGCAGGAGCCTGAACCAGAGCATAACGAACAGGAGTCTGAAGAGGAAGATTCACAGGCAAATGCTGGACCTGGACAAGCGAACTCGCGAGAGGAGTACGAAGATGAACAAGAACAACCTGAGCGACATCATCGATATCGACACCCAAACGGGAACGAATCGAAAGAGAATGGGAATGGCTCCGACTCCGAACGTTCGGATTCAGCACATTACGAGGATTCTGGACGAGGGAAGAAGGGAAGAAGGCACAGCGGTGAGCAATACTCCGCTGAAAAAAAGCGAATACGACCTCGCGGGCCAGCTGGTAAAGTAGTCGGAGTGAATATGGACATAGTAGCGGGAGTATATCCGCACTCGAAAAAACACAAAAGCGATATTCCCGGAAGGTATTCGCCTTTGAGCGGTCCCTTTCCATCATACGAGCATGAAGAGACTACAACGCGACCTACTCGAAAGCCCGAAAGAAGAACGAAAAAATATCGCAAAAAGCATGAACAAAGAGAACATGCGCGCTTACCCGATTACTCCACAAACAAACACAAAAGTCAAAAATTGAGAGAGCGGGCGAAGTGGCTGAATGTACAAGAACAAGATGACGCAACGTATGCTAAAACTCCACAGCCTATCCAAGACG